AAAATAGTTAACCAACCAATTCATTGTTTTTATATACGTATACGAATTACCATCTATAGATATGATTCATTCATTTCTTGTTGATTGGAAAGAAAAACAAACGTTTGTTTTTTCATAATATTATTTTTCGTCTAGTTTTGTATACAGTAACAATGAGTTCAACAACAACAAAAAAATTTCGTGAATTTATGGCTGAACCAATTGGTGATAAAAATATTCGAGATGTTCCTGGTATAGGTGATGTTCTTGGTGGAAAATTATCTGAAGCTGGCTATGAAAAAGTTTATTTTTATTGAATTAAAATAATTGTTTTTTTGTTTTTTACATTTAGGCATATACTTTATTTGGTAAATATTTGTTATGTCATAAAGATGTTGAAGAATTTCAAGATTGGATACAAACACAATGTGGAGCTAATAGTCATCAAGCAAAAACAGCAGCACAAGCATTATCCGAATGGGCTGATGCATTTATTTGAAATATTTTTATTCTTATTCTTTTATATTATAAATAAATAAAAATCAAGATTTGTGGATATATTTTGACTTGCTTTTTTTGTTTTTTTGTCATATATACTTTTAGATTTTTAATAATGTCATCGACAACATCACAAAAATTTCGAGATTTTACTGGTGAACCATTAAAAGATAAACATCTTAGTGAAGTACCTGGCTTAGGACCAAAATTAGCAAGTAATTTAGAAGAATCTGGTATTAAAAAAGTATGTTTATAATAGACATAGTAATAAATGAAATATCGATACATGTACATTAGTTCTCGAAATCGAGTCAAGAATTGTTCATAACTGTCAAGCTCGACTCATAAAAGAACATTTTCTAAATGTTAAATCGTTTTTGATTCGAGACTATGCACATCATGTAAGTTCTAATGAACTATAAATACTTTGAAAAGAGTTCGAACTAATAACTTATTACTGTCGAGGTACTGAATTCTTTTTAGCAAAATGTCGTGACTAACCTCAGAAACATTGAATTTGAACTTGAAACTTTGCATAGAGACAGTCTTTAATAAGAATAGCTTATTATGAAAATTTCAGATTTTTGTGATTAATACAAACATCGGAATTTGCCGTTGTATATAAGTGGCATGAGAGATCTGCTTTTACCATAGTTGTATCTTAGAATAGCAGCAATCAAAAGATTTGAAACTTTTACAATAAACTATTCTCATTAAGATCTGTCTCTATGCAAAGTTTCAAGTCGAAACTCAACTTCTCTGAAGTGGATCACGGTATTATACTAAAAAACACAGTACTTCGACAATGATAAGCTTATTAGCATGAACTCTTTTCAATGTATTGATAGCTCATTAGAGCCTACATGGTGTATATAGTTCTGACTCAGAAGCGTACCCTTATTTATTAGAACATCGTAAAAAGTTTATCATCATAATGATCTAAGATCGGATAACGTTAATGCTTAAAACAATAGTATGAGAGATAAGTCGAATTACTTTTCGAACTGAAAGATCAAGATCAATTGTTGTTTCATTTGAGAAATGTCATTAGACCGAACGACCTATTTCAAGATCTAGTACGCATTTATTTAGTATTGTTTGTGAATTATTCAAAAAATGTACTAAGTTAATTTTATTATTTTTAGGCTTATGAATTATTAGGTATTTATTTAACATTATTGAAGAATAAAGATTATTTTGAACTTTGGATTCGTGATAATGCCGGTGCTAATCGTTATCAAGCTAAACAATGTGCGGATGCGATTGAAGCATTTTGTTCACAATTTCTTTGATAAACTAACACTCATTTTTTAAAAAAAATGTCTATTTTACATATATGTTTACATGAATAAACACGAAGCTTTTGTCTCTTTTTTTTAAAATTATTTTTAAAGATAAACTTTTGTAGATCTGATATGAAATATTTAATTATTTATTTTAATTGATTGTAAAAGAGAATATATTTATGAAAATTTTCATATGTTTATTTTTAGTTTTATATTCATTAAATTGTTTTGTATGTGATTCAAAAGAAGATGAACATTGTCCAGAAACATGGACACGTAAAGATATACTTCCTATTGAATGTGGAGGACTTGATGGTGTACAAAATGCTCGATTTTGTATAAAGACTATTGCTGTTTTTGGAGGTTGGACTATTTTGTTTTTCATTCGTGCTAATGGAAGAACCTTGCTAAAGGATAATTTGCGTTTCAGATGAGTCTTACTTCATTAGGTAGACTCGAATAAAATTTGAATAGGATTCGTACTCGTAAATTATTCTACTTCAGTGATGGCGATTTAATTAGAAGTTTTAAACTAAGGTGTGAATAGAAGATCCATACTATTCGGAGTTATTCTTGAAATGATGACCGAGGCGGGGAAAAGAACAAAACCCCTTGTAACTCGGTCTCTCGTATAGGATCTGTCCCTATCCGATCGCCCTAGTAACGAAATTGTTTGTTTATTTTGATCTCATTTTTTGCCAGTGCAAGGCAAATATTGTTTCAAAAATCAGTTTCTATCGAAAGTTAACATGAAGATGTAAAAAAGTACTAGAAGTTGCACATTATGGGGGAAGGGCAAGTCTTTTTCCTAATCGAAAAGCCTGACACCGCCACACATATTCAACTAGTCCTATTGAAAACTTTATTTTTTCGACTCGAAAATCGATTTTGAAGATAATCTATAAAATGGACATAATCTCATACGAAAGACCCATCAGCAAGAATTCTTCATGATTTTCACCAGTCCGCATAGAACCCACCAAATGAGATAAGCACTATCTTCGAAGCAATTTAGTACTTGGCGATATTCTCTCGTTAGCCACACACAAAAATTTTAAAATAATTATCAACACAGGGAAATGACGATAAATTAAATAGAAAAAGTTCGAAGATGAAAATTTTCAATTTTATGCAATACGGAAATCGGCAGTACCATTGATCAAAGATGAATCTACGCCATTATGTTGATTTTTTAATCTTCGATACAAATTTCTGTTTTTCTGTACAAACAGTTACCGATCGAAAGAATTATCTTCTATCAGCTATGAGCGGAGCTAGTACTAAATAAATTACACATATTTTTAATGCTAAGCTTTTTTCATTTTATCTCGACGGAAACACTATTTAATTATACTTTAAGAATCATTTATTTTTTTTAATCTGACATATTAATGAAGTTTTCCTTTTGATTTATGACATAATTTGTTTGTTAAAGGTGCTGTGGCAACAAAATGTTTTTGTACACCATGTCATATGGATAATCAATGTATTGAAGTAAAATATCCTCAGGATGAAAAAATGTATTATTCATGTACATATACAGGTTGTAATCGAACATCTTATTTATATTTATCAAGAATAATTTTTCTTTCAATGCAGATTTTATTTTAATATTCTAATTTAATAGATCTGATATTTTCCTTTTGTTTTTTTTTGTATATTTGTAACAAAAGAAAACAGAAACTTAGTTTTATAGCTATTTTACACATTTTGTATAAATAAAATATATAGTCAATTGATTTGCCATGAATCGAATGAAACAGATTCTTATAATTATACCATTTGCTTCACTAAGTAACAGCTTGTTTTTACATTTAATGATATTTTGATAGTTACATTTTCTTTTATTCATGAGAAAAGACAAGGCATCTATCGAATAATCTTTGTATAATAGGAAAGGACACAGAAGACCTAGCCAATAAGTCAAAATATGTTTCATTATGATAAAATGATTCAACACAAAATCTAAGTCTTGATACATCTTATTCGAAATCATATACTATTAAATGCTATTGCATTAGTTTATTCAAATAATAATTTGTAATCAATACATTCAGATTTTAAAAAAGTCATGTCACGTTATGTAAATGAATGTGAGAGAATATTTGTTGCTAAATGTCATTTTTTAATGTGTATACATGATAATGATCCATATATTGATACCATCTGGTCGATCTATTATAACAGGTAATGATGTTGAACATGCAATTAATTTTACAAATGTTGATCAAAGTTTATTTGAATCATGTTTTACATTTGCTGATGGACAAAAAAAAATTGTAGTTTAGATGATGAAAGTAGAGAAAAAACTGAAGGTAATGCATAACGGGTGGTGCAAAAGTTTTGTATTAATTTTGTTTTTGATATAACTCTGCGATGCATTGTTATAGAGACTTGATGTTTTTTTTGTTAGAAAGAGCAAAGTGTCCAGTGCAAAAATACATAAAAGAATTTGATTGGAAATGTTTTTCGAAGATCAAAAAAATCTTAGAACAAAAGGCGCCGGAAAACTCTTTTGCAACTTTGATCACATTTTGTTTATCCAAAAATATTTGTTTAACCTTTTTCATTACCCAGTTTCGACGCTTTCAAATACCGTATATATACAGTTGTTGATTACAATGAAGCCTTTCTTTTAGTATTAAAATAATTAATATAGCATACAAGAGGATGAACAGAAGACAGTTTGGTTAAAAAAAGTTCATTGTACAAATTTGGCTTTTCAACGTGAACACAAATTGTTGTCTGAATATATCACAGAGAAGCTGCGTTCTATTGAAAATAATATGGTTTGGTAGAGAACTCAATAAGCTATCTTATTTCTATAAAATATATAGATTCTGGCAACCTCTCTCTCGGAATAGAGTTTATTTTTTCGACGACTATCAACAATGATGAAAAATTGGTGACTCAGACGATCTCATAAAAGCGTTCATTTCACCCGTTATACAACATGTAGAGAATTTCTCTTTTTTGTACAACAATAGTACTCTATCCTTAAATAATAAAATTTGGATTAGACGAATAAAAAGATAACTTGTCTAAATTATATGAAAGTTTTTCAAAGTTCAAAAAAGTTGCAGAAGCGTTTTTCGGCGTCCTTTGTTCTTAGATTTTTTTGACCTTCGAAAAATATTTCCAATCAAATTCTTTTATGTTTTTTTGCACTAGACACTTTGCTCTTTCTAACAAAAAAAAAAAACATCAAGTCTCTATGACGTTGCATCGCAGGTTTATATCAAAAACAAAATTAATGCAAAACTTTTGCACCACCCGTTATTCTAAATCATCCGTACAAATATTTATTGATAAATTAAATGAAATACAACCTGATCTTTTAGAAACAAATGATCATAGAACAGAAAAATCTGTTTACATGCTTTGATTGCAAGGTAAATTAATCGTTGAAGAATATGATCTTGTTCCTTTTGATGAAAATTCTTAACCAATTATTGAATTATCTTTAAATTCAAAATTTTTTTGATCTATTGCTAATTATCTTGTTGGACATAGGATCGAACTTAAATGTATGCTAATAATATTTCTCGGTCGAATGGGTATTCGATAAATGTCAAAACAAGGTTTGATCGTGTTGGATGGAGAACATTTGATCTTTGGAAAAGTATACCTGGTCGATTAACATTATTTGATACTTATTTTTTTACATCAAGCACATATGACATATGATTTAAAATCAATACATCCACGATTACTTAATTTTAAATGTGATCTTAATGATGACAAACCTTGATATGAAACTATTGTTGAACAACTTTAAAAATAATATGAACTAGATGATGATATTATGGATGTAGATGTTCTCGAACAAATTTATGGTTTATGTTATGATCGTGATACATTTGTTTTTTTTTTTGTGGTGACATTTGATGAAAAATTCTTAACGACAAAATTTTTACGTACGGAGAAAAAAAACACATCAATTTATTACTGAATATAAAGATGTTGAAACAGCACAAAATTTTCATTTATCTATTGAAAATTGAATATGAATCAATTTTAGTAAATAACTTTCTTATTGTACTCAACCCGACATCTTGTGATAAAGAAAGTACAAAAATTACAATCGATTTTCGAAGAACATTAATTAATTCAATGGAAAATCTTTTCTCGTTTTTTTATTTCAATACACAACTGAACAATAAAACTTGTTCAAAGAAAAAAAAAACGTTTTTTAAACAAATATAAAGACTAGTTTTCATCGTTCAATGCTGGGATTGTATCCATTTCATTGTCTTGATGGAATACACTGCGAAAGATAGCCGCCTAAGAGCAAAAGAATAAATATGTTTTTTTTTTGAAATATAAACTTTATAAAACAGCATACCTTATTCAAGTCATCTTCCGATGCATCAGTAGGTTCTAAAAAAGAGAAGATTTAAATGACAAGAATTCGAAATTGGATCTAATAGGCTGATGATAAATGTTGCTAAACATATAGCAAACTTTAAATGTGGGATTAATTGCTTGTAGAAAATTCTACTGTCAAGGAGGAAGTCATTTTTGACTTGTCAAATCTATCCACTTAGTAATCTGTTCTGAACGAAGCTCATTGAGGTTGTGATGAACCTTGACCGATGGAATTAGTTTGGATAGATCATGAAGACTCCACCATCTTTCCGGTACTATCAGAGAACGTCTCATGAGAAAATTTTGAAACTTTTAGGAAAGAGCGATCTCGATGAGAAGAGCAAAAGTTGTCATAGACTTAAAAAACGCCTGATAGGGATAAACATTCCTTTTTACAAATACTAGACACTGTTCGGATTGCCTACTTTTCTTTGATCACTTCCTATTTTATTCCATTCGAATAAAAGCTCCGAAATTTTGAAAACACCTTCAAAAATGCATGTTAACTGGAACTTTTTTGTAAATCTGGCACATCATATTTTTGAAACAAAATAAAGTAGACACTCTAAACATTTTTTAATATGAGTAGAAGAAAGTTTCAGCTCGGTCGGATGTACTGTAGTTGAGAAATAGGGGTCATAAACTTTCTATACATTTAGGCTACTGTCTAATTAAAATTTACCGTCATCACTTTGAATTTTCTTTGGTGCAGTTGTATCTGATGGAACGTTCATTGGTGTTGATTGTATTTGTTCAGTTGTATTTGATATTTGTGGTTGAATTTTTTGAAAAAGTGTCGGTTTATTTGGATCATAAACATCTTCATCATCATCATCATCATCACGATTTTCAATAGTTGAACTTTCAATATTTGGATCATGTCGAAATGTTGTACCAGATACTTGATGTTGTTGTCGTGATGGAATATATTCTGTTGAAGAATTTTTTTCATTTATTATTTGTTCATTTGATAAATTATCTATTGAATTTTCATTAATAATACGTTCATCAGGTGCACGAATCGATGGTTGTAATGGATCATATGGTAAATCACGTTCAGGATCATAACGAGATAATTCTTCTTGCTAAAATTAAAAAAAATTAAATAGAAAATTTGATTTCTAATAAAAATAAAATCTTACGCGTTTTTGTTCTTGATATGCAATTAATTTTTGATTATAAAATTTATAAACAAAATCAGCCATTTGTGGCATATTTTCCATAACAGTTGCTTGATGTACAATCGATTGATCACGTTTTTCCTACAAAAAATTTAAATTGTTTATTTATTTTATTAATATTATTTTCTTCTAACAAACCTCACGCATGCTTGGATATGTTTCATTGGGTAATAAATATAATTTAATTGGACGTTTTGTTAATATATTAAAAGCCGGTGTTAATTCAAAACAGCTAAATTCAATGAAAAATTGTTTGTTTTTTGTGTTATCAAGAAAAATTTAATTAATTAAATTACCTTTCAAATAGATTAACTTGTCCAAATATATATAAACCAAGACGTGCTCGAGACATTGCAACAACCAATCGACGAACATCACTGCAAAAAAAAAAGTAAAATAAATATTTTTTTGTTTTATTTCTTTTTTTCATTTACCGTAAATGACCAACAGCTTTTGTACGAACAAGTGAAAGAAGAATATAATCATTTTGTTGACCTTGATATTTATCAACAGTTGTTACCTAATAAAATTTGATGATAAATAAATAAAAATTTTATTTCAATTTTTAAGTTTATTCTTACTTTCATTGGAAGTCCAAGAAGAGGATTTTTTCCACAACGTTTATTAAGTACATCACGTATAAGAAATTTTTGTCCATTATATGTTGTTAATATAGAAATTTTCTGAGCTGGATAACCAAGTAAACGCATATACATATAAACAGCAACAATATATTCAGCTTCAGCTAAATTCTAGAAAGAAAATTTAATTAAATAAAAGAATTTATTAGAAAATAAATTTATAAAAAAGATTTTAGAAAGTTTTGTGTTTACTCTCTGTATAGCGGATGGTCCGAAAGTTTCCGCACAAAATGTTTCTTCATTTTTCGATCGATTAAGTATGTCAGTAGAAACTTTCGAACAATGGGTTAGATTCAGAATTTATGCTCTGAATTTTTGTAGGACTCATAGTTTAGGAGTTATGAGCGAATCTTTGGAAGGCTTAAAAATAAAGTTTGGACAGGTTTCAGTGCACAAAAAAACGTCCAAAGTAAACGTAAAA